TTGTCTTGTTGGAAGATAAATCTCCGTCCCAGTCTCAGGTCTCTTGCAGACTCAAACTGGTTTTCTTCCAGAATGGTCCTGTATTTGGCCCCATCCATCTTCCCATCAATTCTGACCATCTTCCCTGTCCCTGCTGACAAAAAAACAGGCCCAAACCATGATGCTGCCACCACCATGTTTGACAATGGGGATAGTGTGTTCAGAGTGATGAGCTGTGTTTCTTGTATGCCAAACATATCGTATTGCATTGTGTCCAAACAGTTGGATTTTGGTTTCATGTGACCAGAGCACCTTCTTCCACATGTTTGGTGTCTCCCAGGTGCTTGTGACAAACTTTAAACAACACTTTTTATGGATATCTTTGAGAAATGGCTTTCTTATTGCCACTCTTCCATAAAGGCCAGATTTGTGCAGTGTATGATTGATTGTTGTCCTATGGACAGACTCTCCCACCTCAGCTGTAGATCTCTGCAGTTCATCCAGAGTGATCATGGGCTTCTTGGCTGCATCTCTGATCAGTCTTCTCCTTGTTCCAGATGAAAGTTTAGAGGGACGTCCGGGTCTTGGTAGATTTGCAGTGGTCTGATACTCCTTCCATTTCAATATGATTGCTTGCACAGTGCTCCTTGGGATGTTTAAAGCTTGGGAAATCTTTTTGTATCCAAATCCGGCTTTAAACTTCTCCACAACGGTATCTCGGACATGCCTGGTGTGTTCCTTGGTCTTCATGATGTTCTCTGTGCTTTGAACAGAACCCTGAGAATATCACAGAGCATGTGCATTTATACGGAGACTTGATTACACACAGGTGGATTCTAATTATCATCATCAGTCATTTGGGACAACGTCGGATCATTCATAGATCCTCACTGAACTTTTGGAGTGAGTTTGCGGCACTGACAGTAAAGGGGCCGAATAATATTGCACGCCCAACTTTTCAGTTTTTTTATTTGTTAAAAAAGTTTGACACATCCAATAAATTTCATTCCACTTTAATAGAGTCCCAGTTGTTGTTGATTCTTCACAAAAAATTAAAATTTTTATAATTTTATGTTTGAAGCCTGAAATGTGGCAAAAGGTTGAAAGAACACTTTCGCAAGGCACTGTATATATATATATATATATATATATATATATATATATATATATATAT